TTTAGGGCCTGTTATCTCCACCCATAGTGATTCCATGGGGGAGCTTCTTCCCCTACCACTGTCTAGCTTACTTGATGCTATGCTGCCTTGATCTATAGAGCAACACGTTCATCCCGTAATAGCCATGCCCTCTTTGCCCCCCAGCAGTCACAGATACACTGCTTCTAATCCATTTGGCTTGTTGTGAGTCGCACCCTTTAATAGATTTGTCTTCCATTATGGTATTGACCCAAAAGAAAATGACCCTGAATGTAAGATAAGCCCCTTAAAGAAGAGTTATACAGAAAATGTTTTAATTACTTTACATAACTGGAACTTGTATGTGAATTTAGGATGCCCCCCTCTTTTTTCCCGGTGGCTCTTGTGGGGAAAAGGCAGTCTCTTTCTTTTAAGTAAAGGTAAAGGTTCCCTTGCTCGAAAGCCAGTCGAATCCGACTCTAGGGTTGCGGTGCTCATCTCCGTTTCAAAGCCGAAGAGCCAGCGCTGTCCAAAGACGTTTTCCGTGGTCATGTGGCCGGCATGACTAAACACCAAGGTGCATGGAACGCTGTTACCTTCCCACCGAAGCGGTACCTATTTATCTACTTGCAATTTCTTGCTTTCGAACTGCTAGGTTGGCAGGAGCTGCAACTAGAGACGGGAGCTCACTCCGTCATGCGGCACCCGGGTCTCAAACTGCTGAACTACCGACCTTCCACAGCCTGCAGTTCAGCGTCTTAACCACTTGAGCCACCGCAGCTTAAGTAAATAGGACCTAATCCTGTTTTTTAAAAATCTGCCACTACCACGTGCTGAGGTAATGAATCCCATAAGTTAATTATGTATTGTGTAATGCAGTACCTAAGGTCCTCTGAGGCCTTCAGTCCTTTGGAAATGATGTGAGTGGTTATCGGAGAGATGGATTTTTCTGTCGTATCTGGACTCGGCGGTGCCCTCGCCAAACGTATTCGTCAGAACTGTTTCTCGGCATCTTCAAACACTAGAAGAAGAGAAGAAGAGATTGGATTTATACCCCTGCCCTCCACTACCCAGAGGAGTCTCAGAGTGGCTTACAAACTCCTTCCCCTTCCCCTCCCCACAACAGACACCCTGTGAGGTAGGTGGGGCTGAGAGAGCTCTGAGAGAACTGCCCTTGAGAGAACTGCTCTGACAGAACTATGGCTTGCCCAAGGTCATCCAGCCAGATGCAAGTGGAGGAGTGGGGAATCAAACCCGGTTCTCCCAGATTAGAGTCCGCGCACTTAATCACTACACCAAACTGGTTAGCCACAAGAAGTCACCAGTTACTGTGGTGCTTTAAAAGTTAATGTTGTGGTTTCATCATAAGAAGGAACTAATTTATTTTTTATAAAGGCGAATTCTGTGGGCGTTGCTGAGTTGGTCTACAGCAGCCAGAAGTCATGAGTGTTACTGTGGTACAATGACACCTGAGTCAGAATCTGTTCCTTCCCATTCGTGTGGCAAAGTGGAATGTGGCTCACAAAAGCTGCAATAACTTCCTGATGCTTTAAGGGGCCACAATTACTTTTGCTAATTAGAGCAGTTGTTGCTTTTTTTAAAATAAAAATCCCTTTGTTGTTGTGGTTGCCCTAAACTATGCTTAATGCTGTCAGAAATTCCTGAGCAGCATTTGACCGGTCAATCGACCAAATATTTTTGACCCCTCAAATACCCAGCCTTAACTTGCCGTTTTATTTTCAGTTCCTTTCCTCATTTTTCCTGAGTTTGACTTTTTCTGCTTTGCTTCTGTGGCATCCTTCTGTGGCAGCCACCCCTCTCCCTCCTCTCTCACAAGAGAGAAGGGAGAGGGGTGGCGGGGGGTGTTGGGGCTTGGGGGTGGGTAGCCCCTAGGGCCTTCTCGAGGGACCTAAGTCCAGGGTGGTGGCAGCAGAAGGTGGCACCCATGTTCTCCATGCTGTATATTTATTTATTTATACCCCACTCGTCTCCCCAAGGGTGATCCAAAGTGCCTGTATCGTTCTCCTTCACTTTATCCTCGTGACGACCCTGTGAGGTAGGTTAGACTGAGTTTATGATTTTAGAAAGAAAGATAACCGGAGGACATGAAAGAAGTCGTCAAAACTAAACAAGCCCCAAATGCTCCAGCCTTTTTCCCACAGACTTGTTACTCCCGCCCCTTTGACCAATTCGCTTTCCCCATTTCCAGCTATACAATGTCTTTTTTTTGGAGACAGGAGCAACTAGAACTGTCCATATATCACCTGGAATGCCTGATTTAATTACAACCTCTGTAAATGAATGAATGAAAAGATCTGCTTGTAAACTTTGTAGATTTTTTTTTAAAACAAACAGAAGCAGAGAGATAGTGGGGGTGGTGGTTTGGCATGGGGACGGGAGTTTGGCTGTTTGGCACTTGAAAAGATGGGGGGGATGCTTCATCTCACTGTGGGGGGGGGGGCTCCTGACTGGGCCCTTGCAGCATTTTTAAATTGCTTCTTTAGGTTTTGGAATGGCAGCAGTGTCCACAGGCCAGACCTTCAACAGGGAATTAGATAAGTATATGGAGCAGAGGTCCATCGGTGGCTGTTAGCCGCAAGGTATAGAGAGGAACTCTCGGTCTGGGGCAAGGGATGCTCTGTATGCTTGGTGCTTGGGGGGGGGGGCAACAGTGGGAGGGCTTCTGGTGTCCTGGCCCCACTGCTGGACCTCCTGATGGCACCTGGTGTTTTTGGCCACTGTGTGACACTGAGTGTTGGACTGGATGGGCCATTGGCCTGATCCAACATTGGCTTCTCTTATGTTCTTATGACCTATGGATGCCATCGTGTATAGTAGCTGCTCATTGGAATAATCCTTGACTGCCCCGTATCAATACTTGGTTAAGTCGAATCTGGTCCCATTTTGTTATGGCAAAGATTACTGTTGGCACTGTGCGACCATACTCTGAGAAAGCTCACGATAATTTTGTTACAACTTGGTTTCCACTAATGCAATTTCTGTCTGAACAGGATATCATTCCGAATAATCTGATATACAAAGATATGATCTTTTTCTGGTTCTTTCTTGGGGGCCCCCCAACTTTCTTTCCTTTGTTGAAGGCTGAATGTTTTGATGGTTTAACTGTACTCAGATGAGCTAGCACGTTTTTGGTGTTTTTTTGTATGGAATTGACATGTATAGGTTTAAATAAAATCCTAAAAAAAAAATGTATAGTTTGGCCCTCAGTTATTCACCTCCATACTTCTCTTTAAAAGGCTTCTACCGGTGTGGCGTAGTTTGAACACTGGGCAGATCTAGATTCAAATTCCCACTTAACAATGAAGGTTATTAGGCACTCACTGCGTCCGTTCAGATGCGGCGCTTTAGCCGGCATAAACTGCTCCGGTTGGAACCGTTGCAGTTTATGCCGGCTGAAACGCGATCACACTTACCTCTTGTCTGCGGATCCCATTGCTGTATGCCTCTTCACATGCAGCGGGCATCAGTGTTTTTTTTTTTTTAAAAAAAAACAAACTCAGTTTGAGCATGCGCATAGGCAGCCATCCACAGAATGGCAATCTTCACGCATGCGCACAACACCCAGTCTTACATTTAAACTTTAAAGGTAAGGACTTACCTTTAAAGTTTAAAGAGCAAAGTAGCCTCCCTGAGGTCCCGGACACCTCCGAAACGCTAAACTAAGGCCCTTTTCTTTTTTTAAAAAACCAAATGCCAGGGCGAAGCTTCACCCAAGCGCATATCGCCAACCTTTAAAAAAAAATGGCGGCCGAAAATTGGAAGCCTCAGGCTTCCGAATGGAAGTTGTTTCTCAACGGTGGAAAGCGATCAGATGGGGGTTACAGCGATTACGTTGTTTCTCAACGGTGGAAAGCGATCAGATGGGGGTACAGCAATTACAACCGTTGTACTCAGGATACCACCACTTGGGGACCTAGTGGCAGAATACAACGGTGTAAAGCTCTTTGCAATGGTTAGGGACGGAAGGCAGATGTTCGCCGTCTGAATGCCGGTAAGTACACCGATTCCAACCGGCACCTATACCGTTGCAAACGCCGCGTCTGAACGCACCCACTGGGTCTCAGCCTAACCTGCCTTTTTCATGCTTGTTTCCTAGTACAGTCATGGAGATGATAGGTAAGTAGGTAGGTAAGGAAGGAAGGAAGGATGGATTGATTGATTTTGGGCTGTATCAACAGAAGTATAGTGTCCAGATCACGCAAAGTGATGGTATCACCTGGGGTATTGTGTTCCGTTTTGGGCACCCCAATTTAAGAAAGGTATAGATAAGCTGGAACGTGTCCAGAAGAGGGCAACAAAGATGGTGAGGGGTCTGGAGACCAAGTCCTACGAGGAAAGGTTGAAGGAGCTGGGTATGCTTAGCCTGGAGAGGAGACAACTGAGAGGTGATACGATAGCCATCTTCAAGTACTTGAAGGGCTGTCATATAGAGGATGGTGCGGAGTTGTTTTCTGTTGCCCCAGACGGTCGGACCAGAACCAACAGGTTGATATTAAATCAGAAGAGTTTTCAGCTAAACATTAGGAAGAACTTCCTGACAGAGCGTCCTGACAGTGGAACAGGCTTCCTGTGGAGGTGGTGGGCTCTCCTTCTTCGGAGGTTCTGAAACAGAGGCTAGAGGGTAACAGTAATGCGGATTCTGTGAACTTAGGCAGATCATGAGAGGGAGGGCAGGAAGGGTTGCATCAGTGATTAGTATTTCTTGTGGCCCTTTCTTACACGCCCAGGGAAATGCTGATTGCCACTTTGGGGTCAGGAAGGAATTTTTCTCCAGGCCAGTCTGGCTGGAGATCCTGGAGGGGTTTTTTTTTTGTCATCTTCTAGGCATGGAACAGTGGTCACTGGGAGTGTGTGTGTGTGTGGGGGAAGTATTTGTGAATTTCCTGCGTTGTGCAGGGGGTTGGACTAGATGACCCTGGAGGTCCCTTCATACTCTATGATTCTATGATTATTTTGTGTTCTGTGTTTTCACGTGTTGATTTCTTTCGTCTTTGTAACCTTGTTCTCCTATGTTATCACAGGTACCTGTTAGAGCAGGATTTTCCAGGGATGAGGATTGGTCCAGAGCCGACAACAGATTCTTTCATTGCCGTGATGTATGGAGATACCGAAGGGAGCACTCCAGGAAATGCTCTTGTTGTGGACTCAAAGAAGCCATTCCGCAAACTCAGTCGTTTTGGCAATGCATTCTTGAATAGGTAAGGAAAAACTACATGTTTTCAGCTCTGTTCCCTCTAAGCTGAGTTAGTGTGAGCTAGCTCACTGTGTTTTAGCTTCCAGCTCACACGTTTTTGTCTTAGCTCAGGAAGGATGGCTCCAGAGCAAACAGTAGTCAATTCGCTCGGTCAGAACTTTAACGCTGGTAGCTCACAAAGTAGAATTTTTGCTCACAAGACTCCACAGCTTAGAGGGAGCCTTGGTTTGCAGCCTCCTTCTCTGACACCGGGAGCTGAATTTTATTCGCAATCTTTGTAAGCTCGCTTTATTAGATGAGTCCATTACAATGGTACCATGTAGCTTCCTTACCGTGAGATAATATGGTAGATTTGGAAGGGCCAATTTAAGTGGAATTTGCTGTTCTTTAAAAAGGCATACAAGTTGTGATATCTGGAAGAATCTGAAAGGTCTTCAAGGAGAATGACTTTCCGAAATAGGAAATGAAAATATTTGAAGAATGTTTTAAGTAAGGCCAGAAGAGTATTGTTCTCATGGGGTATCTACTTAACTCTTGACTGCAGTACAGTCATGCAGTACAGAATGGAATGAGAAATAAAGTATTGGTCTAATATTTTCTCATTCCCATTGCATAGTGTGAGCTCACAATTAATCTAGAAGATATGCCTTCCTCCACTGGATTGTTTGGTGCTGTTACAGCTCCCATAGTAATACCCTGGGGATTTATGTGGTATGTGACCATCTGATTTTTATAAAGTTAAAAAATTCCCTGCTCGAGATGCTAGAATTTAACTAACTAAGGCTGCGGTCACACGGAACAGTAGCCATGCTAGAGAGACGGAAGATAGGCGGATTTTCCGGGTGCAATCTCACCGCCACATCTGGGAAGCGTAGAGCTCCCGTGGCTCAACCAAGGCTTCCCTCCGAAGATGCGCGGCAAAAAACGAGTACCTCGGAGGTACTAGTTTCCGGAAACCGCAGGGCAAGGGCGGGCGTCTGATCGCGTTTCCAGTGGCATCCGGTGCCCGCCCTTGTCCCCTCGCAAACAGGTCATTTTTTTCCCCAAGGCTTCACGGATGCACACAAGCACCCAACGGAGCATGCACACACTTCAGTTTAGAAAAGTTTTTTAAAAACCCAACAACCCCGTTTGCCGCGCTGCCCCGCTTCTTTGCCTGTGGTATGATCGGCACCTCCCCCCCTGGCCACGGGGCCTCGACGGGACCTCAACCGGACGTCTGATCTTGCAGTCGCGCGTTAGTACGGGAGGTCTGATCGCGTAACTGCGCAGTAGTTTGCCCCAGGGCAAACAGCCACGCTTCTCCCCCACAGTTTCCTGCCCGTGTGACCGGGGCCTAAATAATGAAGCATTAAGTAAGATCTGTATTGCACCCTGTAGTGATTACATGTTTTGGTGTGTGTGTTCCTTTAAATGTTTAGTTTGACTGCAGTAATGAAAGAAGTGTGATAGAGGGAGATGAGTGTATTTTGATTGGCTGATGTCTGAGAGTGTGGGAGGAGATGTTCTGAGAGGATTCTGTGTGTGTGTCTATGTGGAGATTCTGTGATATGAGAGAGACAAGTATGGAGGAGTTTTGAAGAGTCTGTGTGACTCTGAGAATTATGAAGGATTCTGTGTGTAAAGTTTGAAGACTAAGCATAGTCTATGTGACTATGGAATTTTGAGTCTAATTCTGTGTGAATAAGACCAGCAGTTTAGTCTGTGTGACTTAAGAGAGTTGATTCTACTCATTGTGAATAAAACAAAGAGACTAGCCTGTGTGGATATATATATGAGAGAGTATAAATGTATAAGCCTGTCAGAGTGGAGTTTGGAGTTTGAGAGACTGTTTGTAGCACCAAGCTTTGCCAGTTATATTTACAAGTTCCTTTCTTCAGCAACTGTTCAAGATAACCAGGAACCTATTTTGTTCTTTATTAAATAAATCAATTTTTGTTTAAACGTATCTCAGAAATCAGTACAGTTCTTCCTCAGGGCCACATAGTCCTCTGACGTGCCCAGACTCTGGGTCATACTACCGAAAGAGAGAGATTTGGAATTTTTAATTCCTGGTGGCAGCAGAAAACTACCAAGTTTATGCATTCAGAGAGTGTTTAAAGGTAAAACCGTTTCCCCTGTAAGCAAGCACGCCACCCACCCCACTTCTACCTGTCCTCATCCACTTATGTCTAGTGGTGCTCCTGTAAGAATTCATGATTTAAAACATATTTAAGTTAAATGGAAACTCTCTGTAAGTTCTGCTGTTTCTGGTTCCATTGCCTTATTGATTTAGGCATTTTCTTTCCCAATGGCGACCAGAGTAGCTTACCAGAATACAGTTTATATAAATACAGTTTAAAGAGACGGAATTTCAGTATGTGGGGGAGGGGGAAGTACGCTAACAACATCCTGGGCTGGTCCTGAATCCTCTGGGATGGCCATGAGCTGTGAGCCAAGGCCAAAAGCCCTTTGGTTTTTTTGCCAAAAGGCGCACACCTCTGGCCTCACCTAAGCTTATATACCTGCTTTAAAGAGGAGAAACAAACTCAGCCTAGATCTTAATTCATCAGCTGCTAACAAGATGTTCCCACTGTCCTATAAGCTATAATTTGCTATTCAACGTCCTTATTATCCTTTGTTGTGTTTATATTACTGGGTCATCTAAAGGACTTGGCAGGTTGGTGAGTTCATCGTGTGCTGCTCGTTTCCACCAACATTTGATGAGCAAGGAAAACATGAGAGGTGTTTGTTTAAAAAGTATTTATACACTGTCTTTTCCCTATCACTCAGAGCAGTTTCCAATTAAAAAATATTGTTTAAAACATAGTCCACAACGAAAACAACATTGTCGTTGTTGTTGTTCAGTCGCAGGGTCGAGTCCAACTCTTCGCGACCCCATGGACCACATCACGCCAGGCCCTCCTGTCTTCCGCCGTGCTCTGGAGTTTGCACAATTTCATGTTCGTTGCCTCGATAACACTGTCTAACTATCTCATCCTTTGCCGTCCCCTTCTTCTTTGACCTTCAGTCTTTCCCAGCATCAGGGTCTTCTCCAGTGAGGGCTCCCTTCTCATTTGGTTGCCAAAGTATTTGAACTTCAGCTTCAGTATCAGGCCTTCCAGCGAACAGTCAGAGTCGATTTCCTTTAGGATTGACTGATTCGATCTCCTTGCAGTCCAAGGGACTCTCAAGAGTCTTCTCCAGCACCATAATTCAAAAACATCTATTCTTCGGCGCTCGGCCTTCTTTATAGTCCAACTCTCGCAGTCATACAATACTACTGGGAATGCCATTGCTTTGACCATACGGACTTTTGTTGACCATACGGACTTTTGACCATACGGACTTTTGTCCCCCCCCCCCGGTTTCCCCCCCCCCCCCCCCCCCAGAGAACAGACTTCAAACCCTAACCTGTGTTACTTCTTTTCTCATCAGATTCTTTGGGAACAATTGTTCGTTCCACAGGGACACTTATCAGCCTGGAAAGAGTTTGTGGAATGCGAGTTCTGATATGGTTGTGCTTGTTTCCTAGTACAGTCATGGAGATAATACTTACGACTGTGTCTTTGCTCTCCTCCTCCTCCACCACCACCACAATTCTGGGCTACAGGCGACAAACAGTGTATATTTAAACTGCTTGTAAGATGTTCTTTCCCTCTCTTTTTCTGATCATTCTCAGACCTTGCCTTCAGTCAGCTCTTTCATAAGGCCTAGTGCCATCTCCATATATAACTGCAGTTGTTGTTTTTCCTGTAAAACCTGCTACTGCTTCTATGTCACTTGACTTCCGGAAAATGTTAAACATTGTGTCCTTGTCTAGCTGGAATAAAGGCCCCAGTCTTCTCCTGACACAGAGTTCTCTAATCGTTAGTATTCCATGAGTCAAATGTCTTACAAAAAAAAATAAAAAAATAAGATGATGTGAGTGTACGTGAACAAAAAAAAATGCTAGGCTCCTAAAATATTTTAAATGCATTTTTCCCCCGTGAAACGTTGCCTGAGGTTTCACCAGTTTACAAATTACAAAGAGACTGGAGCCAAAGGAGCAGAAATAAATTAAAAAATGGGGGAAACAATATTAAAAATGATAATAAACTTCATTAAAGCCCAACTAAATCTGCTTCTTGGAGCTGCGGTGGCTCAAGTGGTTAAGATGCTGAACTGCAGGCTGGAAGGTCGGGAGTTCAGCAGTTCGAGACCCGAGTGCCGCATGACGGAGTGAGCTCCCATCTCTGGTTCCAGCGCCTGCCAACCTAGCAGTTCAAAAGCAAGAAATTGCAAGAAGATAAATAGATAAATACCTTCGGTGGGAAGGTAGCAGCGTTCCGTGCGCCTTGGCGTTTAGTCATGCCGGCCACATGACCACGGAAACGTCTTCGGACAGCGCTGGCTCTTTGGCTTTGAAACGGAGACGAGCACCGCAACCCTAGAGTCTGATTCAACTGGCTTTCGAGCAAGGGAAACCTAAGTCTGCTTCTTAGTCAATAAAAACATATTTATTTTCAGAGGGGGGGGATCCCTTAACTTTTATACCAACAAAGTACTGTCAACTTAAAACCTCCCTCTGCCTTCTCTCAAAAAGGATTAATGGGATGTCTCACCAAACTGAGATATAACAATGCACTAAACCGATCAAACGAAAAACACAGACAAGGCCATCAGACAAATAAATGTAGACAACACCAGCACCATTTCAACAAGCCTTTTGGAAGCGTACTCTTAACAGGGCCATCCTAAATAGTTATACCCTTTGAAAGGGGTAAGGAACACTGCTAATTCTTTGTTGCTGCAATAGAAAAGGACCTGTGTTGTAACGATCCACTGTACTTCAGACAGTAGGGGAAACCAGAGAACATTCTATAAGTGCCACCTGTGTACAGGATAAGCAAAGAAGGTCAGGGTCTAAAACCACCATTTGAATTAAGCCTGGAAATTTAACTGGGAGCCAGTACAGATGAACTTTGGTCAGATGGTCTTAGCGGGCTACCCTCAGCAGCATCCTCCCATCCACATTCTGGAACAGTCACAGTTTCCGAGTGATCTTTAGAGGAAGTGTGATGGATTTGCAGAGAAAAGCAGGCTTTTAAAAATGCTGCTTGTGTCAGAGAGTCAGGGAGTTCATGAGTTAATCTTCCCTGGAGAGAAGAGCTTACGTGATTGGCTGCTCTACTCACTTTCTCATTGGCCAGCATCAGCTGAGAGAGGAAATAAAACAGCTGATCTAGAGGGGAAATAGGTCTTTTGGTGTTTGGTCTTTCAGCGTTTGGTCTTTGTTTGAAAACTAATATCTGGATCAGTAGCCAGAAAGTTTGGCTTCTGAAGGAAGAGACATTTGGGAGGCAGTGTTTTCTGACAGGCAATAGTCAGGAAAGTATCTCTACAGAGAGAAGAAGAGAAACCCCCATTGTCTTAAATATATTAAAACTGCTCTGAGGGAGAGTCTAGATTCTCAGTCAGGAAAGCTATAGAACAGCCTTATACAGACAAAGGATACTGGAGAAGGATTTGGCAGAAGGTCTGGGTAGTTAGAGAGAACTCCCATACAAGCCAAATAGTAAAAGGAGTTATTGCTTTGTAGGGACAAGGAGAATAACTTCCTGCCAGTGAAAGGGGTTGGGAAGAGAACCCGGGTCTGTGACAAAGGGGAGAAGCTTAGACACCCTCAGGAGTTAATGAAAAGCTGTAATATCAAGGAAAACCTATAACTCTGAAGGAAGAAATCTAGAAACTTTAAGCAAATGCTGTCCTCCAGAAGAAATGTTAATAAGAACTGTGTTAGTGCTGAAATATACTAAACAAAGGTCCCAGTCACACGGGCCGGAAAATGCAGGGGGGACGCGTGGCTGTTTGCCCCGGAGCAAAGTAACGCGTGGCAGCCCGATCACATGTCCCGTGGAGGTCCCGTGGATATGCCGTTAGGTGCCGATCACACGGCTGTCCTGCAGCGTGGCAAAGAAGCAGCACGGCGCGATCACACTGGCAATCGCTAGGCGCCACTTCCATGGCAAATGGAAATTTTTTGCCCTCAACACAGTGTGCGCATGTGCAGGTGGGCGTTTGTGTGCATCCTGTGGAGACTTTAAAAAACCCAAACATCTGGTTTGCGACAGGACATGGGCGGTCGCCGGATGCCACGGGATTCCGCGGAAACGCGATCAGATGCCTGCCCTTGCCCCGCACTTTCCGGAAACTAGCACATCATATGTACTAGTTTTTTTACTCCGTATCTTCGGCAAGAAGCCACGGGTTAGCCACGGGTGCACTACGCTTCCCAGATGTTGTGGTGTGATCACGCCCGGAAAATCCACCTATCATCCGTATCTTTAGCACGGCAAATGCTCCGTGTGAACGGGACCAAAGTACCTCTCAAAGAAAGAATTAGAAAACCTTGAAACAAAACTACAAATACACTCTCTTGAATGTTCTAAAAATCAAACTCTGTATATATTAGAAAGTTTTTACCTCAGCAGTTTCAAAACCTTGACTACTTCTAATATACATGTATTCCCTGCCTGTTTATTAAAATCTTTATTCTGTTTTTGAAAATTAATTTGCCTCAAGTGCCATTTCACAGGGGTTTATAAAACAGGACAGTTCGTATCTTTCCTGCCAAGCCGCGGCGGGGGATCCGCACGTCTTCACAGGATCCCTGCCGTGGGGGACAGCGATACGCGTTGTACCGCCGTCACCAGGATGTGACGCTATGCATCGCTCTGGCAACGGGACTCCAAACAGCCCCGTTGCCAGAGCGACACGTAGCGTCACATCCTGGCGACGGCGGTGCAACACATATCACTGTCCCCTGCTGCAGGGATCCTGTGAAGACATGCGGATCCCCCGCCGCGGCTTAGCAGCCCTAGTTTCAAGTTTATATAAAAGAGAAAGAGAGGGTATACACACTACTGTAAGGCAACTCAGTCACTGTTGGGAACCGAAGTTTTGGCAGGGAAAATCTGCCAGGCAGTTGGGGAAATACGGGGTTCCACCACAGAAGCCTCATTTAGAGTGTGTTACAGTAATCGAATCTGGATGTCACTAAGGCATAGATAATTGTGAGTAGATCCCTGTTGTGTAGGAAATGATGTAGTTGGCATACAGCCAAGTAGACCTTGGTTGTCATATGCAGATTAAATAACGATTATCAAGTAGAATCTCTTGGGCCTAAGGCAATTTGGTTTCCACATGGATGAATGTACGCAACCACATTTCTTCCACATAGGCACTTTCTCATTATACCTCAGCCATTTGTTAAGAAATATTTGTTTTTTTACCCTCCTGATCAATCACGTACATGTGTAGAGTTTTAAGAACTGCATTTTATTTTGACGTACGGTTTTTCTTTATACATTGGGTCGATTTTAAGCCAGTTTTGAGAGAGCTCTGTGACAAAAACAAAAATAAGACCAAGGAACTCGATGGGCTGATCATTTGACTATTCTAAAAAGATTTGATGAGTTGACTGATTTGGATATTGTTAAATAGATAGTCATGCATTTTTAAAGCAAAGGCTTAAAGATTGCAATTTCTGCCTCAAGCAGAAGAGGAGGAGGAGGAGGAGGAGGAGATTGGATTTCTACCCCGCCTTTCACTGCCCCAAGGAATCTCAGAGCAGTTTACAATCTCCTTTCCCTTCCCCTCCCCACAACAGACACCCTGTGAGGCGGGTGGGGCTGTGGGAGCTCTTGACAGAAACTGCTCTTTTTCAAGAACAGCTCTTTTATATTTATTTATTTATTTATAATTTGATTTTATTTAGAAATACAGAACAACATTGAAAACAGAAAAAACTGTGAAACTGTAAAGTTTAACAAGATTAGAGTAGTTAAAACATTGTGCATTTCGAAAATTGCATTTCATACTATGACTTCGTAACTGTTTCATGTAACACAAAGCGTCTACCTAGGTCAAAAATTTCTTTCTATACAATTTCTCTTAGATATCCAGATTGTCTAAGAATTAAATATACAGACAGTAAACGATAAAGGCATATAGATAATTTTATGAAATTACAAGATGATACAGTCAATCATATTTTGATCTAGGAGAAACAAACCCTTGTATAAAATTTATAGCCATTTTTGAAATTGCGTCCACAGGGGAGGAATAAATTCCTCTGTGGTCAGGTATTCAAGGATAGGGTCCCATTTCGTCATGTATGTGGTGCTGATAGGTTTTTGTGAGACATTGTTTATTTTGTTGGTTCCACAGTCCATGAGGAACTGGTCCCATAACTTGTGGTACCACAGGTGGAGCGTGGGCGGGTTAGGGTCCTTCCAACAGGAGGCTATTGACGTGTGTGCTGCATAAGAAGAAGAAGAAGAGATTGGATTTATACCCCGCCCTTCACTTGGAGTCTCAGAGTGGCTTACAAACTCCTTTCCCTTCCCCTCCCCACAACAGACACCCCTGTGAGGTAGGTGGGGCTGAGAGAACTCTTGACACAAACTGCTCTTTTTCAAGGACAGCTGTGCCAGAGCTTGTGACTGACCCAAGGTCACATCAGCAGGTGCAAGTGGAGGAGTGGGGAATCAAACCCGGTTCTCCCAGATTAGAGTCCGCGCACTTAACCACTACCCCAAAAGCCGAGGTGCACTCCCCGAAGAGAAGGAAGAGGTGGTTTCATTCTTTTCCCTCTCCCCACTATGATCTGTGCGGCCGTCTATACATGTGAGTCCCTCAACCCCAAGAACATTCCTGGGATCAGAAATGGCTCTGGGGGCGAAGGGAGATCCTGTGATCTTTCTGCCCATGGATCATGGGATTCAATACAATGCTTTTATTCAGAATAATAAAATATACTCAATAATTATGAATTTGATACTGATGCTGGTTACAAAAAACAAATTCTTGAAATTGTTGTTGTGAAAATGGCATTACGAATGCCGATTCTAGTCCAGAGAGTTATAAAGAGCAGAAAACTTGGACTATGATCAGCTTGGCGTCATCTGCCTAATTCTGTCCTGGAAAAAGTCTTAATTTCCCCCCCCTCTCTTCTCTTTGCAGGTTCATGTGTGCTCAGTTACCCAATCAGGTTCTCAAGAGCATCAGTATCATAGACAGCCCTGGCATCCTTTCGGGAGAAAAACAGCGGATCAGTAGAGGTGAGCTGCGGTGTGCAAACACAACTGCCGGACTGGTGACCTGTTTTTGTTTTAGAGACTAATCCGGCTAATCTCTTGAGGGTTTGATCTTGTGGCTTGGTGACAGCACAGTCCGGCCACACTCCTGGAGCCTCTGTTTACTGTAGTTTAAGCCTCCGTCTTGGAGCAAGGGTCATCGGCCTTTTATGGTGGCGGCTACAAGCATGAACTGCTTCAAGAGGGAATTAGATAAGCCTATGGAGCAGAGGTCCATCAGTGGCTATTAGCCCTAAGGCATAGATAGGAACTCTCAGTCTGGGGCGAGTGATGCTCTGTATTCTTGGTGCTTGGTGGTTGGGGGGCAACAGTGTGAGGGCTCCTAGTGTCCTGGCCCCACTGGTGGACCTCCTGATGGCACCTGGTACTTTTGGCCACTGTGTGACAGAAGGACGTCCTTCTTCACCCAAAGAGTGATTAACACTTGGAATTCACTGCCACAGGAAGTGGTGGGTGCTACAAGCATGGATGGCTTCAAAAGGGAATTAGATAAGCATATGGAGCAGAGGTCCATCAGTGGCTATTAGCCACAAGGTATAGCTAGGGGCTCTGGGGCAAGTGATGCTCTGTCTTCTTGGTGCTTGGGGGGGGGTCAACAGTGGGAGGGCTTCTAATGTCCTGGCCCCACTGCTGGACCTCCTGATGGCACCTGGTGTTTTTGGCCACTGTGTTAGAACAGATAAAAGGGAGTACTTCTTCACCCAAAGAGTGTTGGACTGGATGGGCCATTGGCCCGATCCAACATTGGCTTCTCTTATGTTCTTATGGTGCCGGGGGGGGCAACAGTGGGAGGGCTTCTAGTGTCCTGGCCCCACTGCTGGACCTCCTGATGGCACCTGGTGTTTTTGGCCACTGTGTGTTGAGTGTCTGAGGCGGGCCGAAAGCGGACTAAACAGCCCGTCTGAACGCACCCAGAGTGTGGATGAAAACTACTCTGCTTTTCCGTTCTCTGTTGGAGACTATTTCACTAGTTGATTTAGTTTATTACACAGTGATCTGAAAATATAACAGAGTGAATTCCCCGCTCTTGGCTCCGTAGGCCTTGTTCCTTACGGTGCAAGAAACGGAATACAAAATTAGATGACAGTTATCAGCTAAAAGTTGGTTGTGATCTGGTTCTCCATTTTGTGATTTAAATATGTCAGTCCAAAAGTTACTCTCAGTGATCTGCTTCTGCTTTTTGCTTTGCTTAATGCTTACTTTATAGGTAGAGGCTATAGTTGGAGTACTTGCTTTGTATGCAGAAATTCAGGTTCGTCCATCCTATCTCCAATTAAAAGGATATCATGTAGCAGAACTGGGAACATAAGAACATAAGAACATAAGAGACGCCAATGTTGGATCAGGCCAAAGGCCCATCCAGTCCAACACTCTGTGTCACACAGTGGCCATAAATACCAGTGCCATCAGGAGGTCCAGCAGTGGGGCCAGGACATTAGAAGCCCTCCCACTGTTGACCCCCCCCCAAGCACCAAGAAGACAGAGCATCACTTGCCCCAGAGCCCCTAGCTATACCTTGTGGCTAATAGCCACTGATGGACCTCTGCTCCATATGCTTATCTAATTCCTTTTTGAAGCCGTCCATGCTTGTAGCACCCACCACTTCCTGTGGCAGTGAATTCCTGAGATTTTAGAGAGCTACTGAAAATCCAGAATACTAAACTAGGTAGACCAGTGATTGAAGAAGAAGAAGAGATTGGATTTCTACCCCGCCCTTCACTACCCAAAGGAGTCTCAGAGCGGCTTACAATCCCCTTTCCCTTCCCCTCCCCACAACAGACACCCTGTGAGGTAAAAGAAGAAGAAGAGATTGGATTTATACCCTGCCCTTCACTACCCAAAGGTGTCTCAGATCGGCTGACAATCTCCTTTCCCTTCCCCTCCCCACAACAGACACCCCCTGTGAGGTAGGCGGGGCTGAGAGAGCTCTTGACAGAAACTGCTCTTTTTCAAGGACAGCTCTTATCAGAACTACGGCTTGCCCAAGATCATCCAGCCAGGTGCAAGTGGAGGAGTGGGGAATCAAACCTGGCTTTCCCAGATTAGAACTTAAAATAGGACTGCTTCATATGACACTCCTGATATTTCGAGATTGTATTCCCAGCATTCTAAACTGTTATCATGTATATCAGAATAATAACCCTTCTCTTCATTAGAAGCAATACAGAATGGACAAGACTCCAGTGGTATTAACTGGACGTCAGTCTGCTTGTATGAGTCATTATTGCCCTCATCTTCCCTACTGATAACATGAGGAGTGTCTGAACATCTTGTTCTGTCAAGCCCTGCAAGGTTATGTTCAGTTTCTTTCCAGAGGACTTCGGTGGTTGCCGAAGAGTTCTAACAAGGTCCTATCTGATAACCTCGTTTTTGTTTATTGTCTTTCAGGCTATGACTTCTGTCAGGTCCTGCAATGGTTTGCCGAAAGAGTGGATCGTATTATCCTCTTATTTGACGCTCATAAACTCGATATTTCTGATGAGTTCTCAGAAGCGATCAAATCATTCCGGGGCCAGGATGACAAGATCCGAGTGGTATTGAACAAGGCCGATCAAGTGGACACCCAGCAGTTAATGCGGGTCTATGGTGCACTCATGTGGTCCTTGGGAAAAGTGATCAACACTCCAGAAGTCCTGAGGGTCTACATTGGCTCCTTCTGGGCTCAGCCCCTGCAGAATACAGAAAACAGGAAGCTGTTTGAGGTAGAAGCACAGGATCTATTCCGGGACATTCAGGGCCTACCTCAAAAGGCGACTGTGAGGAAACTCAATGACCTTATCAAGAGGTCGCGACTCGCAAAGGTAAACCTTGGAATTAAAACACAGCTTCTGGATGGAATTAACTTTCTGCCTTTATTTTTTTCCCCCCACCTTCTATCCAAAAATAGACAATTTATCAAATAGATTTACTTGGCAGTATAACAGTGATGTTTTATTTGATGGGGAGAGCAGAAACCTTGCAGCTCACTGAACAATCCACAGTAAAAAAAAATACAGGAACTCATGGGCACTCAATGAAATTGCTGAGCAGTTGGGTTAGAACGGATAAAAGGGAGTACTTCTTCACCCAAAGAGTGATGAACACATGGAATTCACTGCCACAGGAGGTGGTGGCGGCTACAAGCATGGACGGCTTCAAGAGGGAATTAGATAAGCATATGGAGCAGAGGAAGAATACAGTGCATCACTTGCCCCAGACTGAGAGTTCCTATCTATACCTTGTGGCTAATAGCCACTGATGGACCTCTGCTCCATGTGTTTATCTAATTCCCTCTTGTATTGTGAGAAAGGGAGAAAAGTACCTCTTTCTTTACCTGCTCTTTCCCATGCATAATCTTATAAACCTCGATCATGTCACCCCTCAGTCGTCTTTTCTCCAAGCTAAAGAGCCCTAAGCGCTTTAACCTTTCCTCATAGGGAAAGTGTTCCAACCCTTTTATCATCCGAGTTGCCCTTTTCTGCACTTTTTCCAAAGCTATAATATCCTTTTTGGGGTGCGATGACCAGAACTGCACACAGTACTCCAAATGAGGTTGCACCATTGATTTATACAGGGGCATTATGATACTGGCTGATTTGTTTTCAATTCCCTTCCTAATAATCCCCAGCATAGTTATAAAGTACTGGGTTTGGACACGAGGCAGTGAAATCAGCTCATGAGTTTATTGTAACTCAGCTCGGATACAGACAAGAGCAGGACCGGAGGCCTGCTTAAATCCCCATTCTAAACCACACCCAAGCACACACCCACACCCGTGATAGGATTATTTACAGTGCACCCCAATTCCCATAGGTTAACTCTTGGATCCTGACTGCCCGATAGGTGCGTTTTAGGATCCATGCGGTCTATTGTCTTGAGGGGCGAATCTTAGGCCGTTCGCATGTCCACTTGCAGACCCAACCGCGTGCGTGGTCTATGTCAGAGCACAACCATAGTGATGGCCTTTCTTATTGCAGTCGCACACTGTCTCGACATTTTCAGTGAGTTATCTACTACGACTCCAAGATCTCCCTCTTGGTCAGTCTGCCAGTTCGGACCCCATCAATGTGTATTTATATTTAGGATTTTTGGCTCCAATGTGCATCACCTTGCACTTGGCCACACTGAACCCCATTTGCCATGTTGATGCCCACTCTCCCATCCTCGACAGATCCCTTTGGAGTGACTCACAATCCTCCCTGGTTTTCGCCACCTTGAACAATTTCGTGTCATCTGCAAATTTAGCCACTTCACTGCTTACTCCCGACTCCAAATCATTAATGAACAGGTTAAAAAGCAGTGGACCAAGTACTGCCTTCCTGCTGGCCGCCCAGAAATGCCGGGAGAAGGCACGCCAGGCCGGCGGCAACTGGGCCAATAGCAAGGACAGCCCTGCGGCCGGTAAGGGGCAGCTGCCACCACCACCAGATGGGGACGAGGGGGAGGGGGACGACCAGCAGCTGGTAAGGGGGATGGCTCTGTAGACATCCGACCCCGCAGCAAAATATTCCTGTTTAAATTAAAGCGGAAACAAGGCGCAATTACCGTGCCGAGTAACCACAGCCTGAGATTCCCTTTGAAGTAGGATGACCAAATGACTGCAAGCAATTTATTGCTCTCAGACAATAGTTCAAGAAGAAGAAGAGGAGAAGAGGGGGAGGAGGAGATTGGATTTATACCCCGCCCTTCACTACCCGAAGGTGTCTCAGAGCGGCTTACAAACTCCTTTCCCTTCCCCTCCCCACAACAGACACCCTGTGAGGGAGGTGGGGCTGAGAGAGCTCTTTCAAGGAATGCCCTTGAGAGAACAGCTCTGACAGAACTATGGCTTGCCCAAGGTCATCCAGCAGCTGCGAGTGGGGAATCAAACCCGGTTCTCCCAGATTAGAGTCCACGCACTTGACCACTACACCAAACTCGTTCTAGTGCTGAGAGAGCTTAAAATGCCTATCAGCCAAAGAGAATATTTCTTGTACGTCACTGTGGTCCTGTTTCAGAAAGGCAAAACGTCTCTATAGTTTTCTTGTTCTGTACTGGTTTCTCTTCCTACCTAAATTGTTCTTGAAGTCCCTACCAGGGTAGAGTAAACACCAGAAACACCAGCTTCCTGTCAACTGCAAGGCCTTATCAGAGCCTTCTGGTGTTGCTTCAGCTCCATGGATATTTTAATACTTTGGAGGTTAAAAACATTCTTATCTGTCCAAACCGTTGGCATTTGATACTTGTGTGCCTTCCATAAAAGTATGCCCTTCCAGCAGAGGCTGATATTTGTTGTTCAGTCGCACAGTCGAGTCCAACTCTTCGCGACCCCATGGACCAGATCCTGCCAGGCCTTCCTGTCTTCCGCCGTCCTCTGGAGTTTGCTCAACTTCATGTTCGTTGCATCGATGACACTGTCCAACCATCTCATCCTTTGCCGTCCCCTTCTTCTTTGACCTTCAGTCTTTCCCAGCATCAGGGTCTTCTCCAGTGAGAGCTCCCTTCTCATTTGGTGGCCAAAGTATTTGAGCTTCAGCTTCAGGATCTGGCCTTCCAGGGAACAGTCAGGGTTGATTTCTTTTAGGATTGACTGATTTGTTCTTCTTGCAGTCCAAGGGACTCTCAAGAGTCTTCTCCCGCACCAGAGGCTGATATGCACTATCCGTAAATATGTAATGTAAAAAGATAAATGATAGCTTTCAGTTTTGTTTGTCAAAATCTGAAGATTTTGTTGTATAGATGATTTACAGAAAGTTGCTTAGGGCTGCTGTGGGATCCCCCCGCCCCAAGCCACACACCCCGCCAGCAGAGAGACTGACCAGAAGCAAGAAAGAGCCCTAAGCCAGCAGTGTGGTGACATCAGTTCTGGCGGCACTGGAAGTGATGTCATTGTGCTGCTAGCAATGTGGCAATGCTCTGGCACCGTGTTTTCCCAAAAATAAGACACTGTCTTATATTTATGTTCTCTCAAGAAGACACACTAGGGCTTATTTTCAGGGGATGTCTTATTTTTATTAAGTATAATGCAACAATCTACATTTATTCAAATACAGTTAAGTCATCTTCTTCTGGAACATCGTCATAACTCTCATCACTAGGTCTTATTATCGGGGTAGGGCTTATACCACAAATGCATAGAAATCCTGCTAGGGCTTATTTTTTGGGTAGGTCTTATTTTCGGGAAAACAGGGTATTTGGGGGGAAAACTCTATGGTAAAAACAGCTTCTACCATAGAGTTTTTGCCCAGATACCAGAGTGTTGCCAGCATGCGGGGAGTGATCTTGCCACACTGCCGGCAATACGGCTGAAACGCCAGAGTAGGCCTCCCACCCTGCTGGTAAATCCCCCACCAGTCGCCTGGAGTTACTGTGCAAACACGTCAAAGGTTGACATTGTAGATAGCCCTTAATCTGACTAGCAAATGCATCCTAAGGGATAAATCATTATTAAGCCTTTCCAGGGGTCATTTCGTAGAAAAAGAGGGGCAGGAGCTCATTAGCATAACTCATTAGCATAACTTATTTGCATATGCCACAACCCCTGACATCACCGGAAGTGTGTCAGAAGGCAACACCCACCGCTCAGGCTCCACTGGACTTTTTTGTTTTGCTAGCTATTGGGGGGGGGTGTGTGTGTGCAGATCTGTCCTTGCAGAGGGCTTGTACCTGAATAGAACTTGGTCTTAAGGGTGCCACTGGACTGTTTTGGACTGGGGCCCCGGATGGGAGCTCTGCAACTTACCTGGCTGCTTCTTGCTCTGCCTGAGGGCTGCTGGGAGCAGGGGGTGGGGCTTGTTGCATGTGCCCGCCCCCTCGGCTCTTTACTGCCGGAGCTCCGCTCCTGTGCGCTCCTGCAGGAAATGACCCCTGAGCCTTTCTATATTGTGAGAACAGAACATGTAGGTCTGTACTCATGAGAACTTCAGAGAGCAACCTGTGTTGTATGTCATGCAAATGAGGCAGTATTAAGACTAGCGTGTCTTAATAGTTGAGTATCTATTTCCTTTCTCTGGGTGCGTTCAGACGGGCAGCTAATACCACAATTGGCTCGGCTATGATTTGATCCTGATCTTTTTAATCTGGTTTTGCATGACCAGACAGCTCCTCTTACCACACGCGTACTCCGCGGTGGATTGTCTAGGTGGCATCCACCTGAAGGAGCCGCGCGGTCGGGTTGTTTTTGTTTTTTAAAATTCTGTTTGTGCATGCGCATTCGCGCCTCAACGTGTACTTGCTTTTCCGCGCATGCGCGGAGTTAAATGATTAAAGCACCGCCAGTGGTACCTCTCTCTAGGTACCTTTCTAATTAATGCAGTTCATAAAATTCACGGTCCATTTAGAAACATGAAATTGTTCGGAACGTTTGAGCAAAGCTCTGCGGCTGTCACGTGTTTACACGTTTATGCACATATCGCTAAGAATTTTTTAAAATTGCGCCCGCTCGGGATGGTATAATAAGTCGAATTTAAAAAAAAAAATGGCCCGTCGGGAAGCGAAAACTCCAGATTTTAACTAGTAACTTTTAAGTACGGCTCCGAAGCGTGGCAAAACGGGATGCTCACAGAACAGGCACATTTCCCAGATGTTGCTGTCTGGTCGTGACCTTTAAATCTGCTGGGCACAAGCAGATCTAAAAACCCGTCTGATCGGGACCTCTGTCAAATCAAATGATCTTTTATAACCATCTTGAAATTGATACACTAAACTTTTATTTCTCCGTCTATAGTCCACTTTTTTTTTTCAAGAGAACTCACATTGGCTAACAAAACAATTCCAAAATACTCATGTGTCAAAACAGTCAATGGGAGAGGCCATATTCCCTTTTTCTCTTCTACACAGTGGCTGGCCACCGAAGATATCCAAAAAGGTGATGGCTGTTGGAATGGAAGGAGTTTTTCATCGCCCTTCCTTCTAGAACAGGCGTTACAAGAGGGAAAATGTGGGCCCTGAACTGGATAGCCCAGACAAGCCAGATCTCGGAAGCTAAGCAGGGTTGACTCTGGCAAGTACTTGGATGGGAGGACCTCCTTGGAGTACCAGCAGTTGGGAGCTGGGAGCCGGCCCTATTCAGCCACCTCTCTGAATATCCTCCAGGCCCCCAGTAGGGGTCAGTCACCAGAGGTCTCCATGACTTCCGGGTGCACACACACACACACAGAAAAAATACCAAAAAAAACCCAAACCCCAGAAAGAGTGAAAATGTGTTTGGTGCAGGCCTATTTTTGGGCAGGAACGGAGTTCCGGCTGGCTCCCGAGTTGGCCACGCCCAGCAGGAACTCATTAGCATAATAGGCCACACCCAACAGCAGAAACTCATTCGGATTGGCTACATTAGGGGTGTGTGGCCTAACATGCAAAGGAGTTCCTGCTACAAAAAAAGCCCTGGAGTTTCACAACAAACAGGATAAACAGAATAAGAAGCAAAAGGTGGGTGTGGCTGGATGACTACACTTCTGGTAACGGGGGTGCGGCCTAGTATGCTAATGAGCTGTGTTATCAGGGGTGTGGCCTAATATGCTAATGGGTTTCTGTTGTTGGGTGTGGTCTATTACGCTAATGAGTTCCTGCTGGGCTTTGCTACAAAAAGAGCCCTGGTTGGTGTATCAAAATAGTGTGACCTTTCCTAGATCTGGACATGTTAATTTGAATACCATGCAAATCACATTCATTCTTTTATTTCTGTATTAGTTTGGGTCTGTTCCTGGCAAAAAGTTGGGGAAAGATCAGAGGAAGCATCTTTTAATTTGGCCATTTGCTCGGGGGTGGTGGGGGTGGTGTTGGATGGTGTTGGAAGGAAAGCCGGTTGAGGACTACAGCCATAGTTGCGGAAATCTGTTGGATGAGGTGATAACTGATATATTAAAAACAATGCATTGCGATAATACAACTCGAGTTAAATACAGTCAGTGACAAATGTTTACGTTTCCCTTAAGAAATTAATCCCTTTCCAGAACTGATCGGCTCACACTTCCTAATGACACGCAATCACACTTCCTAGTGACACGCAAGGAATGCTGTAATTGCAGTGTGAGCCGACATTCCCTAACACCTCTTCACGGCAGTTTAAATTTAGAAACTGTGAATCCCTTTCCTGTATATGACACACATTCCTAGTTCTATTCCGTCCAAAGCTATTGTGTTACCTGACCCTCTCAGAGCTTGTGGGATTGTATACTTTGCTTTCTTGAAATTGCATTATGGAATTTAAGCAGAAATATGCTTTCCCTCAAGAAGGCTCAACTTTCCTCATTATTATTTACCAAATATTTGCACGGAATTCTGTAAAGTGAGCCAGTTTGGTGTAGTGGTTAAGTGCGTGGACTCTAATCTGGGAGAACCGGGTTTGATTCCTCACTCGTCCACTCGCAGCGGCTGGATGATCTTAGGCAATCCATAGTTCTGTCATAGCTGTCCTTGAAAAAGAGCAGTTTCTGTCAGAGCTCTCTCAGCCCCACCCGCCTCACAGGATGTCTGTTGTGGGGAGGGGGAGGGAAAGGAGTTTGTAAGCCGCTCTGAGACTCCTTTAGGTACTGAAGGGCAGGGTATAAATCCAATCCCCTCCTCCCCCTCCTCCTCCTCCTCTTCTTCTTCTTCTTCTGGAACATCCCTGGGTCCCCCCCCCCCACTGTGTATAGGAAGAGGCCATTTTCTTATTCTTGAATCTTGTTGTACAATTCGAACTTTTATTTCCCTTTCCTTGAGTAACAGTGTCACATTCTCAGTTCTTGTCCTCTGAGAGTTTATCAAACTAGTTTATCAAAGTGGTGGCGGCTACAAGCATGGACGGCTTCAAAAGGGAATTAGATAGGCATATGGAGCAGAGGTCCATCAGTGGCTATTAGCCACAAGGTATAGATAGGGGCTCTGGGGCAAGGGATGCTCTGTCTTCTTGGTGCTTGGGGGGGGCCAACAGTGGGAGGGCTTCTAATGTCCTGGCCCCACTGGTGGACCTCCTGATGGCACCTGGTATTTTTGGCCACTGTGTGACAGAGTGTTGGACTAGATGGGCCTTTGGCCTGATCCAACATTGGCGTCTCTTATGTTCTTATGTTAGCTTTCTTTCCACATCCAAAGCAGGCTGTATAATCAGACGGGAAGCATAGCTCTTTCTTAACATTGGTGTATTTTATCTGTTCCAAACAATATAAATAAACAGTTGCCTCTTGAACCTTTTGTCTTTTGGAAGGGGGAAACCACTCTAAACGTTGCCATTCTTCTGACTCAGGTACATGCTTATATCATCAGCCATCTAAAGAAGGAAATGCCTGCAGTATTTGGAAAAGAAAGTAAGAAAAGAGAACTGATCAACAGCCTCCCTGAGATATATCGTCAGTTGCAACGGGAACACCAGATCTCCCCGGGGGACTTCCCAGAAGTCAAGAAAATGCAGGTACAGTACCTCGGAAGAATTTGTTCTACAAAATATGCCTCCCCATGCCTTCCCCAGCCTGTCCAAGGGCCGGCTTCCTCAGGCTCCCCTCAGCCGCGGGGCGCCCGAGCAAGCCAAGGGAAGGCATGGGGGTGTGGCCTAATGAGCTGTGCTGTCAGGGGTGTGGCCTAATATGCTGATGAGTTTCTGCTGTTGGGTGTGGCTTACTATGCTAATGAGTTCCTGCTAGCTCTGCCTATACGTTATGTATTACCCTGTTTCCCCGAAAATAAGACCTACCCAAAAAATAAGCCCTAGCAGGATTTCTATGCATTTGTGGTATAAGCCCTAGTGTGTCTTCTTGAGAAAAAATAAATATAAGACAGTGTCTTATTTTCGGGGAAACACGGTACACGAACGTCTTTACTCCCTGAGAAAGAATATTGTATGGAAAGTACACCCCAGTGAGTTGGATCCAGCATAGCGTTTTCACAGGTGAAAGTACTTCCACCCTTGGAGTGAGACGGTCTTGGGTCCCGCTTCCTGCAGGTGCTCTGCAGGTGAGAGCCAGTTCGGTGTCGTGGTGAAGTGCGCGGACTCTAATGTGGGAGAACCGGGTTTGATTCCCCACTCCTCCACTTGCACCTGGCTGGATGGCCTTGGGCAAGCCGTAGTTCTGCCAGAGCTGTTCTCTCAAGGACAGTTCTGGAAAGAGCTCTCTCAGTCCCGCCGACCAGGGTGTCTGTTGTGAGGAGGGGAAGGGAAAGGAGTTTGTAAGCTGCTCTGAGACTCCCTTGGGTGGGGTATAAATCCAATTTCTTCTTCTCTTCTTAATTCCTCCTGAAATCCTGCTCTTTGGGGAGAGAGGAAACACCCCCACACACAGAATGGGATTTCATGGGGTATTCCAGACTGCCACAAGAAGGGGAAGCTGAGAAGGTTGCATTCCACGGGTGGAAGTCCCTGTACCCATGGAAAAGCTGTGCCCATGGAAAAGCTGTGCTGAGGCCAGCCCAGTAAGAGTTTCCCTAACATGAAGTCCCTGGATCCTGTCTGTTATACCTGGTTACTCCACTGTTCGACTGGGGTGCACCCTTCTGTCCTGCAGTCATACCAGCGTGGCAACTCTATCCACATCGATTTAGTGTTTCCACCAGGGGTCATTTCCCGCAGGAGCGCACAGGAGCGGCGCTCCGGCAGTAGAGAGCCCAGGGGGCGGGCACATGCAACAATCATATTTAAACCACACCCTCCCTGCGATGCAGGCTCAGTATGCATTTTCTTAATCTTTCTGCCATTCTTGTGGCAAAAATTTTCTCGTCTACATTCGGCAGAGAAATAGTTCTGTAAAAGAATTTAATTGCTGTGGACAGTTCCGACACTAGGTGAATGTTCTGGTCACTACTTCTTATGGGGGGCGTGGCGCCGCAGCTGAAAATGGCAGACGCCTGAGTCTTTTGCTCTCCCCCGATCCTGCCCTTCCTCCCCCAAAACAGCACTAAAACAGTTAATCGCCAAGCGGCGATGGGGAAGAGCGACGGGGAAAGAATTAAAGCACCAGAAAAGCCGGCTAAAATAGCGGAAGATTTCTCGGTCTCGGGCCAGCGAACGGAGGTGAGTCAGCACAATGAAAACAAAATGGCGGCGACGAGGAGGAACGCTGATTTAGAGGCCTTGGGAGGTAGTGACCTTCTTGATGTCCTTAAATCCATGGGAAAAGGGCTTCATGAGAAAATGGCTTCCCTATCTACCACGCTGGACGATATAAAATATACCCTGGCTATCACTGCCCAGAAAGCAGATAAAGCTATGGACATAAGCAGGGGTCTTGTTGTAGAAAAAGAGCTGCCGGAGCTCATTAGCATAACTCATTAGCATAACTTATTTGCATATGCCATGCCCCCTGACATCACCGGAAGTGACAGAAGGCCACACCCCCTGACATCACCGGAAGTGTGTCAGAAGGCCCGGCTACTTACCCTCCTGCTTCATCCTCATTCCCAAACGGAATGAGGATCGAAGCAGAGGGCGGGGTAAAGAAGGGGGCGGGGCTTCACCACGTGACCGCCCCGCCCCCTAGAGGTTCTCTTCCGGAGCTCCGTACCTGAGAGCTCCCCCCCGACTAGAGCCCTGGACATAAGCCTTAAGCTCCAAGATGAGACTAAGGCACTGAGAAGGGAAAACAGGAGTCTGCAGGAACGAGTATTAACTATAGAAACGGAAGCTAGATTGCCAAATTCGAAATTCAGGGGAATAAATGAAGATGCTGAAAAACAGATGGACTTAATCCCGTTTATGACACAGTGGATCACAAAAGCCCTGGAATTGGAAGATAATTTTTCTAATACCATCACTAATGCTTATAGAGCTGGGCCTGTTCAAGCCAGCAAGAGGAAATATCCAAGGGACGTTTATTCTTACAATACCAGACGTTAATACACGGGGGGGGAACTCATTGCTGCAGCAAAAAATAAATAAGCTCTGCAAATGGATGGCAAGTATATTCAGATCTTTATGGACATTCCAAAAGGGGCCATACAAATTAGAAGGCAACTCGGGAGCACAATGATGAAACTCCAGGAGGCAAATCGGAGGGACGGATGGCTCCCCTCAGGGAAACTGCACGTGATCCACCAAGGAAAGCACTACTCTGCATGGGATGAAGACAGCGGATGGGACCAATGTTCCCTCTAAGCTGAGTTAGTGTGAGCTAGCTCACAGTTTTTTAGCCTCTGGCTCACATATTTTTGCCTTGGCTCAGGAAGGAGGGCTCCAGAGCAAACTAATTTATACAGTAGCCAAATTGCTCGCTCACAACTTTAATGCCAGTAGCTCACAAAGAAAATTTTTTGCTCACAAGACCTTGCAGTTTAGAGGGAACATTGGATGGGACCAGGGCTATTTTTGGGCAGGAACACACAGGAACGGAGTTCCGGCTGGCTCCTGAGTTGGCCACGCCCAGCAGGAACTCATTAGCATAATAGGCCACACCCAACAGCAGAAATTCATTAGGATTGGCTACATTAGGGGTGTGTGGCCTAACATGCAAAGGAGTTCCTGCTACAAAAAAAGCTCTGGCCCGGTTTGACAACAAACAGGATAAACAGAATAAGAAGCAAAAGGTGGGTGTGGCTGGACGACTACACTTCTGGTAACATGGGGGTGTGGCCTAATATGCCAATGAGCTGTGCTGTCAGGGGGTGTGGCCTAATATGCTAATGAGTTTCTGCTGTTGGGTGTGGTCTATTACGCTGATGAGTTCCTGCTGGGCTTTTTCTACAAAAAGAGCCCTGGTTTGGTGTATCAAAACAGTGTGACCTTTCCTAGATCCAGAGGTCATTTCGGGGGGGATCGCAGTTCCCCCGGGTGAGGTACATTTCCACATTTCCAAGGGCTCCTTTGTTCATTTCCCGCCGGTGACAGATGTTCTCCTAGCTCAGGAGAACCAAGTGCTGCATCACGACGTTCCGCACCTGAAGCTTACGGCATGGGAGATCCCTTAGCCACACTCAGGGATAGAGTACACCATGTTCTGCTGAATTGTCGTAAGCCTTCCACTAGGGCTTCCTATGCTGGGAAATGAAAGACCTTCCTAACTTTCCTCCAGTCGTCGGAGCTACCCCCTCCTCCCACTGACCTTATGACGATCTTTGGGTTTTTGTTATCACGTTTAGATTTAGGCCTCAGTTGTTCCTCGCTGCGGGTGTATTTAGCAGCCATTTCGGCCAATCACCCTGAGGTAAACGGACACTCTGTTTTCTCGCACCCGCAAACGAAACAGTTCCTGAAGGGGCTTAGCCACCTCTTCCCTCCATCCCGGGGCCCTCTGCTGGCTTGGGACCTCCCCCTGATCCTCGCCAAGTTGATGGGAAGGCCCTTCGAACCTATGCCTACCTGTAGTTTGCAACTCCTTTCCTGGAAGACTGCCTTCCTGGTAGCTATTACTTCGGCCAGGAGGGTGAGTGAGTTGTCAGCGCTTCGGTGTAACTCTCCTTATCTGGGGGGGCGTGGCGTCGGAGCGCTACTGCATGGACGCTAAATCCGACGCTCCGTTTCCACCCCACCCGATTTCCCATGCGAATGGCTTAAAATCACAAAATAACGAACCCCCGCAATAAATATCGAACTGACGAGCACTCCGGACTTGGTGGCGCTTATAAGGATGAGTGGATAAGCGTTTAAAAAGCCAAACTTTTAAGCTCCGTCGTGCAACCAAACACATTTCAAAATGGCCGCCGACGATAAAAATAAAAAGAGAGACCCACAGGAAGAACTGGTAACGTTGAAAATGCTCCAGGCAACCTTAAAAAACTCTTTCCAAGCCTTTGAAAACTCGGTTTTGGATAAATTTAACTCAAAAATTGACACAGCCTTACAACCTTTAACGGAGCAGATGAACCAACTAACAATTGCTTTAGAAACAACTAAAGCAATTGCTGAAACAGCCTGTTCCTTGGGCTCCACTATACAAGCCAAAAATCAAGAAATACAAAAAGAACAACTTTATATGAAAGGACGAGTATCGGTCCTGGAAACTGAGGCACGAAAACACCACCTGAAACTAAGAGGGTTCGAGGAAAACCCAGAAGAAGAAGCAAACCTTATATGTGCAATTCCATCCTGGCTGGCTTCACTGATTTACAAAGAAGACAATAAACAGCTCTCTACAATAAAAATATATAGACTTGGAAACTCTCCTTACCTGAATTTTCATCACGATGGTGTTACTTTGGCCCCAGATGTCTCTTTTTTTTTTTTGCCAAAGATAGTCTCAGAGTTCCATATGCAAGCGGACATTGTGTTTTTCCCAACACCTCAGAATGATGAGGAACGTTGTTTGCACACCCTAGACATAAAGAGAGCTTTGCTCTTCTACCTGGACAGAACCCGGCCCTTTTTGTTTCCCATGCGTTACCTACGCAGGGAAGGAAGCTGTCCTCTCAGGGTCTATCCAAATGGATCGTGGAGACGATCAAGCTCGGTGACTTGCTCGCCAAGAAACCACTCCCCGGTCTGCCACGAGCACACTCCACCCGGGCGATTGCAACATCCACGGCCTTCCTGCGAGGTGCGTTGCTTGGTGACATCTGCAATGCAGCGACCTGGGCTACTCCTCACACGTTTGTGAAGCAGTACGCCCTGGACGTTCGTCTTCATCAGCGTATGGCGGTGGGACGGGCTGTGTTGCAGGTGGCGCATGTTTAGGACCTTCAGCTCCCTCCTCCAGGTAGTGTCAGAACCCACAGCTAGCAACGAAGTACACGCATTTAGGAATGGTTATACTTTTATTGCAAAGCTATAGATGCAGTAACATAGGCACTGTTAAGAATGGCGGCAACCAACAGAACCGATTGGGATATAGGGTATTCGTATTGTTGGATCCCCAAGCATCGAGAATAAATCCACGTTTTAAAGAAAAGCAAAATTTATTTCAAAGCGTTGAAGACATACTCAAACACGTTCTTTGTTAGAACTGGGGATACACAGTTAGTTCAAGCATAATAAAGGAACTTCAAACAGATACAGATCCAATGAATATCTTTCCCGCTGGCGGGCTAAGGAAACGGTTGCGCGCCCAGTACATGAGAACCAGGCAGAACATCAGACAAAACACAGGTGCAGTAGTCCTGGGAAAATCAATAGGCAAGCATTACAGCATCTTCTCCCCCACACAACCTCCAGCAGTTATCTTTTGCATTCCAAAGCAGGAACAGGATGATAGAAGCCAGACCGGGTGTAATAGGGAAAGGATATGTACACAGAGGTCACAGAAAACAGAATGGCAGCTTGCTGACACGTATGCACACACACCCCATGGCATGGGCCAATTAGGTACCCTCCTGCGCGCGGGTGAAGTTAGAAAACCGTTAGGTGATGAAAGCTGAGAAACAAGAGTCTCTCACGGTACGTAGGAGACTTCTAGACTATACATCCTCCTCCAGCACATCTGTAGAGATAAGCGTTTCAGCAAAGGCAGAACAACAGGGATAGGAATGCAAGAGCAATTAATACGACACAGACTGAACTCCCCAACCCCCATGGCAGCATAGCTGACAGGTAGGTAGTTATTGCTTTTTAGTCTCCCAGAGGTGTGATGCACAGAGACCACGAAGAAGATAAACAGGTTGCTTACCTGTAACTGATCTTACCTGTAACTGATCTTCGAGTGGTCCTCTGTGCATTCACACCACCCGCCCTCCTTCCCCTCTGCTTTCGGTCCTCTCCTTTTACTTTGTGACTGAGGGCAGCGGTCAGAAGGAACTGGTGGAATAGTCGTGCCCAGGGAGCAGGCGCAAAAATCCCTTGAGCTGTCTCCAATACCGATCGGGGTCGGTGCAGGCGCACGATATCCCAGAGGTGTGAATGCACAGATGACCACTCGAAGATCATCAGTTACAGGTAAGCAACCTGTTTTACATTGTCTTGCTTCATGGCCAGTGTGTAGTTTGTTTATCTCATATGGTATATTAACCAATATGTATCTATTTTTGGGAAATACTTTTGATCCTATCTTTTTAATACTATTTTTAATAATTCTGGAGTGATTTTTATCAAGGGGTCTGTGACGTTCTTGCTTATTGGGGAGACGGTTTTACCTTTAAACACACTTTGTTTACCTAAACTTGGTAGATTGCTGCTGCCACCAGGAATTAAAAATTCCAACTCTCTCTCTCTCTGCTGGTAGAATGACCGAGGGTCCGGGCACTTCAGAGGACTATGTGGCCCTGAGGAAGAACTGTACTCAGGGCTTTTTTTTGTAGAAAAAGCCCAGCAGGAACTCATTAGCATAATAGGCCACACCCAACAGCAGAAACCCGTTAGAATATTAGGCCACACCCCTGATGGTGCAGCTCATTGGCATATTAGGCCACACCCCATGCTTCCCTTGGCTTGCCCAAGCGCCCTGCGGCTGCGGGGATACCAGGCAAGCCGGCACTTGGACAGGCCAACGGCAAGCCGGCCCTTGGGCAGGCCAGGGAAGGCATGGGGAGGCATTTAAAGGGGCGGGGGGGGGGGTTTCCACTCTCCAGGCCTTACCTTTGTAGCCATGCATACAGAGGTTTTGGCTGCAGTGGGCGTGGCCAGCTCTAAAGCCAGCCGGAACTCCGTTCCTGTGCGTTCCTGCCCAAAAATAGCCCTGACTGTACTGATTGCTGGAATAAGCTTAAATAAAAATTGATTTATTTAATAAAGAACAAAATAGGTTTCTGGTTATTTTGAACTGTTACTGAAAAAAGGAACTTGTAAATATTACTTGCAAAACTTGGTTTTATCGATTCCCTCTGACAAAGCCTGCACGGCGAAACCTGTAGGGACTTTGTATAATAAATCAGTCGTCTGTATCACCTGGCATTTTTTCCCCCTTTTTGTTCCGCTGGCACATTGCTGGGTGCAGCCCACTTTTTCTTTATCCTGAGGCCTTTATTTAACATTTCGTTCTGATGTCATCTTGTTCAGCCGTGGCAAAGAACAGCGGTTTTATCGAGGAATGGTTTGACCATAAGAACATAAGAGACGCCAATGTTGGATCAGGCCAAAGGCCCATCCAGTCCAGTTCAGCACTCTGTGTCACACAGTGGCCAGAAATACCAGGTGCCATCAGGAGGTCCACCAGTCGGGCCGGGACATTAGAAGTCCTCCCACTGTTGACCCCCCCCCCCCAAAGCACCAAGAAGACAGAGCATCACTTGCCCCAGAGCCCCTATCCATACCTTGTGGCTAATAACTTCGGAGCTGGGCGGGGGGGGGGGAAGCGAGGCCCGGGTGTCTGCAGCCGCTCAGGCCT